AATGCCAATTAAAACGAAAATGATGCCTTTACTGCAACGATGGAGCCAATCAGTTTCAAGTTGATGTGCAGAGAGACACACAATGGATGGTTTTACAAGTTACATGACGCACTTTTCCTTTCACACCAGTTGAAGGGGTTTTACTGGGACATAAACGGCTATGACATAAAATCATTATAACTGGACATTAAGCAGATCCCTCCGTCAAAATCCCTTTAAGGAATGATCATTTAAAATTGTCCAAATATTTTGCAGCAATAGTGACACAGATCAACATGAATGGATTATTTTAGAGGCCGTCCACAGAACAGCTTATAACCCCACACGAAGAGGCCTTTTTGTAACACAAGTCTGGTTAAGAAAATGTTGAACTCTGGAAATCAGTGTTAATTGTAAAACCTTATTTATCCCCTTTACTCAAATGGTAATTATTAAACAGGGCAATCAAACATTTTGTTAATGAACATAAGAATGTTTTATAAGTAGTCTTATGCTCCACGTTTCTGCATTTAGACCTTTGACAGCTTTCGTTTTTGACAACTATCTATCACTGTCAGTATTCAACATAGAATTAGTCTTATTCAAGCAATACATCAAATCGGTCAATATATTATAGTGTCAGGCTGATAGCTTTCCTGTTTTTAAGTCATATAATTGTTATGTTTTGCATAGATGATTTAACATGGAAATTAATATTAGTTTGGGTTTGGGGGTCCATGATAGCTGGAAGACCTCCAAGGCAACTCTCTATTGGCCCAAGACAGCCGTTTTTAGATTTGTATAAGCAGGTAAAGCTGAGTATTTTTGGAAAGTGGCTTCACTGTAATGTTTCTGTTCAAAGGATTTTTTTTTAATCATATATTCCACACTAAACTGTTCTTGATGCAGCAGAAACATAAACTCACTTTGATAATAAATGTTCCATGACCACATGTAAGTGGCGTAATATCAAAAATAGCAAATGGCCTATACAATACATAATCCACCAGTAACTCAGTGCAGATTCTCAGTCATTCACTAAATTAGAAGGCAACCTTTGTTTCTTAAAGTCACCTCTTGTCCAAAGGGGTTCTTCAGTTCTGAGCATCAGTTAGTAGAATTACAAGTAATAAGCCTGATGCATCCAAGCCTATAGACCGAAAAAGGAGAAACCCTTGGGATGGGAGGTTAAACTTAAAACCCAAAACAGTCTGCCTCTCTTTCAGGAGGGTGACCAGACTCCATTCTTACTTATTAGGGGTTTCACAATACATTACATTACATTACATTACAATACAATACAATACAATACAATACAATACAATACAATACAATACAATACAATACACCAAGAGGCTATTTCTTAAAGTTATCAGAGGCTATTTCTTAACGTTATCTAAAAAAAAATTCAGAGTCTCCATGTTCTGCATTCAAAACCTAAATTTCATGCTTCATTAATGCAGACCAATGTATCACATCCCGAATAGGTTGCCTGTTGATCAAATTTCACACTGCAGTGAAAGGTCCCGACAGAGATTAAAGGAATAGTACACCCAAAACATGATTAGCCTTCATTTTCTACTCTCCCCCATGCTGAACAACACTCTGGAGTACTTTTTTGATATCTCAAATGCATCTGGAGATCTGGGAGGCTTCTTGTTGTCTGCTGACATTCAAATAATGGAGGTCTATGGTGACCGAGGCAGAAAGGTCCATAAAAGTCCACAAAAAACGTGTCAATATTCCTCCATACTGCTCATCCAATGTATTCCAAGTGTCCTGAGTGGGTAGCATCCAGAATTGACTCGAAACGAAGTCATTTAGAATGTTTTTAGAGCATAAACAGTAGTGTATAGGATTTCCTGAAAGCGCGCGCGTGCGTGTTCATGACGCTACAGAAGCCGGCAGACCAAACCAGATGAAAGTGCGCATTCAGCGTCTGCTCTGCCGATAATGCAAGCGTAGAAGAAGAAATGTGCTGTTTACCTGTGCAAAGAAAGAAACAACGAAAGAAAAATGTCTGAGGGCTTCAGTGTTGAGGAAGAGCACGAGTTCTTTGCCGAGCTGAATGCGCACTTTCATCTGGTTTGGTCTGCCACGGTTTCCGTAGCGTCGTGAGCTCACTGGCGCGCGCTTTCAGGAAATCATATACACTACTGTTTATGCTCTAAAAACATTCTAAATGACTTTGTTTCGAGTAAATTCTGGATGCTACCCACTCAGGACACTTGGAATACATTGGACGAGCAGTATGGAGGAATATTGACACGTTTTTTGTGGACTTTTATGGACCTTTCTGTCTCGGTCACCATAGACCTCCATTATTTGAATATAAGCAGACAGCAAGAAGCCTCCCAGATCTCCAGATGCATTTGAGATATCAAAAAAGTACTCCAGAGTGTTGTTCAGCATGGGGGTGAGTAGAAAATGAAGGCTAATCATGTTTTGGGTGTACTATTCCTTTAAAACTATAAATGTATATTTGCAAAGCAAAAAGTCTTAATAAATTGTGCATTCAAACAGCCTTCATCTATTTATGAGGAATATGTCATAGAGTTGCTCATGCATTACAGGTGGCATCATCTGTTTAAATTTGAATACCACTTCCTGCATTTTCTGTGAGAACAGGCTTGAATAAATCAGACTGCATGCTGCATTTAGCAGGTAGGAGTTTAGACTGTAGCAAAGCTGAAATGAAAAGATATTTAGTTTAATTTCTTGGGACAGCAAATCATTATATGGAAGATAAGAGTCTGTTTGATTCTGTTCTATTTTTGTAACTGTTATGTTTTTATTGATGTTTTCAAAGATAGGTGGAAAGATATTTTAATCAATCCTGAAAAATCAAAGGCATTTTTCTCAGGAAACTCAAAATGTTTGTTCTGTCTCTGGTTAAAAAAAAAAGTAGATCCCCGTGGTCTTTACATGTTTTAGAAAGTCTTATAGTAGGCTAATCCTCTTCTACCTTTTTTTTTTTATGGAAATGTACTGTAACCATTGTTTCCAGCACAAACACCATATTAAAAAAAAATCTGTGGAAAGACCCTAAAATGAAAATCTCTCATAAAGTTAATAATAGATGATAGGATTCCATATCCAGAAACCCTAAAAGTCAATACAACATAGAATTAAAGATATACCAATCTGGTTTATTTCAAGGGTAGTTTTATTATTCTCTCATTTGTACATCATATGTCTTACTCAGTTACAAATCCAACATTGGCCCTATTTAGGCCAAGCCAAAATGTTAGGGCATGGGCTCTAATTGGGCTTCTTGTAAAGGATCCACTTTTATAACCCATGTTAGCAGAACCAGGTGATCACCCAGTGCAGGTGGGCATTGACTGGCTTTGATAATGCCTGGCTCATCTTATGGCTCATCTTCAAGTGTGACATGTCTTAAGGGGAGGAATGATCTTCCAAAAGAAAAAACACAACGTATTGCCTGACTTAGATTTCTATTTCCTACTTACTGATATATTCAATGGACATCAGTTGTGCATCCGGCCAACCCTCTTACTCTGCAACCCAATCTGTATAGAATGGACACACAATTAACCAACAGAAATCCTTAATGGTTAAAGAGGCATAACAGACTTACCTAATGATATTGGCAACTGTGGCCAAAACACAGAATTGCATCACTCTTCTGCTTGTTCTCATAGCTCAAGCTTGTACATGACAACTTATTTTTTATATATGTACTTCTTTCACCTTAAGTGGAGCTCCCATTGGTGTCTCAGTGGAGCTGGATGCCGGTCTTCTAAGTTTCCACAAAATCCATCTAGTACTGTATATAAAGCTTAGCTTGTTTGTTAGGTGGGGCCGATTTAACATGAAGGTGCTTGACGTCACATCCACAGAGCAGCGCAGGACATTCACACCTGAAGTAGATTCAGGGAAAATGTGCTACAGGCTTATAGATGCATCAGCACTGAACTACTGAGGTGTCAGTCTGCTCATGAAATAATATTTCAGTACTGAAAAAAATGAACTTTCTCTTTTTTCCCTAATGGCACCCGTAGGTCATGGCTTTCTGGGCAGAGGGTCACTGCCTCTCTGGAAAACAACTGGTGCACATATACCTTTTTTTGTAACCCAATGCAGGGTTTTTTTTTCAGTTTAAATACTCTGTTGTCATGGCATGTGCAATAGGGTAAATAATTATTACACTAAACCGATTACAGGTCATATTTTTGATGCACGGAACAAGAGGAGTAGAAAATAAATGTCAGACCTGACAAGTGGAAGTCTTGTTTTAAAACCTAATTCATCCCTAATTAGCTCTGAGGGCAAAGAAGAGATTAAAGAATAATCAAAACAGACAATTTTGCCTGATATTAGAAATGAGAACATTAGTCCTTAGTTGAAATGAGTCAAAATCATGTAGATAAATAAAAAGCATCTATTTTATCCATGTATAGTCTTTCCTTCCCCAGCATAAGGAGGTTCCCAAACCTGTGCTCCCGTTACGTTACCTTGGCTTTTTTTTTTATCATTATTTGACGTCCGGGGGTGTGGAAGGGTGGGGGTGCACTCAGCGGCATGACATAAGACCTGCTGCCCATCCTACGCTCCAGCTGCTGATTGGCTTTACGCAGGTTTCTGCCTAATATTTAACACCGCAAAGCTTGGAGGTCTCATTTATCTAGACCGGATCTTAGCGCAGCATCCATCAACAAGGCGCAAGCAGCTGACGCGCAATTCCAGTTATCTGCAAGGGATTAAACAGGTAAAAATAAATATATCAATGAATATCTGAAAGTTTTATGCTCACTTTAACCTTTCATTGATGATTTAGGTTTAAAACTCAAATTGTTGTTTATGCCGAATGTTTTAATATGCACGGAAAAAATACAACTTTAATTGAATCGCATCTATGATGGTTAAACCTTAAACGGCGCATCTTTGCGCGCAGTTTGCGCGCAGCGGATGCATGCATTTATTTCCTCCAAAAACCTATGTCATTTCTCTGTATTAATAAATAATGAATGACTGGAACTGTAAATGTTTACGGACAGGATCTGCTGAGAAAATGAGACGAAGCCTTCTCCTGGTGACTTTGTTCCTCATTATGAAACTTCGCTCCAGCCATTCCAGGTGCGAGGAAACCGGAGCGCGCAGATCCTCCTCAGACGTAGGTTTTTGCTGTATCGCTTAGATCAAGTAGTTTTTTATTTTAGGGCAACTGACTTTTATATTCATCCATCTTCCACAGACTACAAGACTGGAAGATATAAAGCGGAACATTCTGAGAAGATACACAGATTTGGATTATGACAGCTTTGTTGGATTGATGGGCAAAAGAAACGCGGGTTGGTCTAATTTTATATGTGCTTTATGTTCAACTATATTACCTAATGATAAAATGTCTAATTGCCTTTTTTTTCCTTTTGGGGATAATCGTTTGATTTTCCTGTTTCCGACAAAATATTACTCTTCCAGAAGAAGAGGACGTGGAATCCCAACAAAAAAGTGAGATATAATTATAATGTTTACAACTGTATCTGTTAAATTTGTTATAGGAAATATTAATTTGATTTTTTTATTATTAGGGGAAATGGATGACTTATTTGTTGGTCTTATGGGAAGAAGAAGCTCTGACTCTGGTGAGTGTTATAGATGAATGGGGGAAATAACTAGAGCACTGCTTGCTGTATCAGCTGTTCATGTTCCTCCCTTCAGTTCAGAAAGAAACAATATGGGACTTATAATTTCTGTTCCTGTAATGAGACTTTTTCTCTGCTCCCTTAGATAGTCCCTGGAGGAGAGAATATCCAGAGCGCAGAGGAATCCTTCTCAACAAATCCAGGCTGAGGTGAGTCCTCAGAAATAGATGGAGCTAGAAAGATTTTTTCCTCATACTATAATATCTTTAAAATATCTTTTGTTAAACAGAATTATATTATATATATATATAACTTATTTTTTAGGTTACTTCAGGGGCTGTAAACATTCAGCCAGACCTTTTTCCGTATGGCTTCATCAACAGAAATTCACAAAGGAGTAGGAACAGCCAACAAGTCTGAAGGAAAAGAAGTCGAGCAGCTGGTTCATGAAAGCCACCATAAACCAAGCAGATTGTAACTATTTTATCTGCAAGAAAGAATAATTAGAAATCATAATTTCAGTTTCTTTATTTTCTCTGTCCTCTGTTCAAAGTTGAAAATAAAAGTAACTTTTTGTATACATTGTCTTACTTTTATTCAATGTTGATGTATTCTTGCAAGCTTTTGGGATTACAAAACGACTCAACAAGTTGTACATCATTAGAAATGTGTGTTTATACCACTTATTAAATTGGTATAATATATTATATGTTTATTACCACTCTGAAACAGGTTGCATTTAAATGAGCTTTGCATCAGAGTTAAAAAACAAATTTCAGCACAGTTGTGGCTGTAACAACAACTGTGCTTTTAAAAACACATTAAATCATGAGCAGCAGATGAAAACAAATTAGTATCCTGACTAGAAAGATAAAGGTCTCCAAGTAATCAAAAATAATTTATGCAAAAAAAGCTTTAAAAAAAAGTGGAATTATAATTTAAAATCAAATGTAACACAAATGTCAAACGAAAGACTGAAACCAGCTTCATAATGGGATGTGTGTTGCATTTAATAGGAAAAATCGATGTTTTAAGTAAAAATGTTTCTGCATCACTAGAAAATAATAGTGGCAGGGTCTAAAATCAAGACACATTAAAACAAAACAAAAACAATCAGGTACGCTAGGTGAAGAAGAAAAAAATAAATAAAAACAGGCTACACACAGCTGCCTCTGAGCCATAATTAATTTGTCTCAACTCCCACTGGGAGCACTGTCTGTGAAACACTGACATATTCTCATATCCAAGAGGCATCGCTTGAGGACTTCAGCCAGTATGATACACAGGCAGCAACCCTCTGAGAGGCAAACGTTTCCTTCTTTGATCACCCTGTCATGATATGGAAGTCGCTGCAGTTAAAGCTCACTTAGCAGCCTGAAGAACTGCAGGGAATCAATGATGGCTGCCTTGTCTGCTTGCAGTCCTATTTATAGGTAAATTAAAACTGGCATTATCTTCTGTGCCCCTCTCTGCACGCTTCTCTTCTGCCGCTTGGTTTTCCCTGACGAGAGCAGATGCTGTGTGATTGGCTTTGTCCTTCACCCCTTTAGCCAGTTTTAAGTTCAAAATTTTGGCTGCTTTCAACGGCGGGGCCAGCCTCTGTCTGCGGCGAGCAGAAGGCAGATAACGCGGTACGTAGCCATAAGCTCTCAGATGGTAGGTGTAATACTCCAGAATGTACATCAGCTCTGCCTCCACATAATGGAATGACACGGTGAGGTCTGAGCAGCACTGTGGCCCCTTTAAAAAAAGGCAAAAAAACATCAAAAATTTAAATTGCAGCGAAAAAAAAAGTTTAACATTTTGTATCAGATATTCTGACATAGCAATTAAATTTATGTGCAGAATACAGAGAGATGCAGTTATATAAACATAAAAAAGATTTGTTTTTTCAATATGTTCTGTGGCATCTCAATTATATTGCTGGATCTTAGGTTAAAAAGCTTCTCTTTTAGAGCAAACCAAAGGGATGAAATGTAGAAGAATTAAACAACACAGTCTCTCTCTCTCCATGCAGTCTCTCATCCGGATAGCTTCCAAATTGCCTCTTTCTAATAAGGTTAATCCCATCAGAGGATGTCTGCCTCATCAGAACATTTAAAGATTTACTGCCACAGCTCCATTTCCCAGCACTAAACCTTAGAATCAGATATAACATGTAAAAGAACTTGCCTCAACAATTGGGTAAAAACAATAACTCCAGTACCAGAAGCTCTTAGGGAACTTTGTGGTGAGAAGGTGCTCTGGCACAAACGGGTGAAAAGTTTCTCTGTGCAACGTGTCTCTGGAGTCCCCAGCCAGAACACCCATCTTCTCCAAACACTGCCCCAGCGCCAGGTCTTCGACAGGAGTCGTGTGTGTGCAAGCCTTGGTTCGGAAACCTTTGACAAACCGTCTGAGGGCCTCCTTACTGAGCACATAACCTGCACCTCCACTCATGTAACCCTGTTTGGTGTACGGCTTAAAGCGTTTACCAAAATAGATGGGCTCTTCAGGGGTGTGGTTGGACAGAAGCCAACGTAGGTTATCAACCACCACAAAGGTGTCATCGTCCGCTTTAAGGAACCAGTCAGCTTGGTTCATGTGGTGCTCGTAGACGTAGTGAAAGGCCTGAATGGTTTTCCAGTAGAGTTGATCGCGGCCCTCTTTAGTGCCCAGCCCCACAGTGGGAAAGGAGGGGTCTTCCACGGAGCTCATAAACAACACAACATCACAATGTCGACTCCAAGTGGCTCGGACATGACGGGCCCTGCTCTGGAGGTTATATGGCCCCGTCATCACCCAACAGAGAATACGAACCCTCTGGGACAGCATATCTGCTACCTGGCTGTCTTCATCTAGAAACAGAGGAGAAGTTTACAATGTTACAATTTTTCCTTTAATTCAAAGCATGTTTGGTTCTTTAATTACAGTTTGTGACTTTACAGTTGACTTTGCTGCTTTTGTTGGATTTGTTCCACCTGGATGAGCGGTTAGCAACAGGAGACATTTGCTTGCATTGTTTAGTGATTATATGGTTTTAAACAATTAATTATAAAAATCTGCATTTGTGGTTTGCACTTGTATATAAAAAAAAAACCCTGCACAAACAAATACCAAAAGACATCAAATCTAAAATGCATTATGATCTTACGCTATTTTTAAAGAAGAAATCAAACATCATTCTGTGGATGTCCAAAGCTAGTAGGAACACCATGTATCCTTTTCATTCTGCTTCAGTTATATGCACTACTTTCTGTATGTCACACAAAATCCCCCAAAATAACATGAACGTCTATGGCTGTGAAAAATTGTCTTTCTTTTTGAAGATAAGTTACAACAGCACACCATGGTGTGCCTTTGAAAGCAACGCTATGGCTACGTTCACACTGCAGGCCTTGATGCTCAATTCCAAATGTTTTGTGAAAGCCGATTTTTTTTGCGTTGCTGTTCACATTTCCAAATATATGCGACTTGTATGTTATCTCCTGTGCAGTCATATAATGCAAGTGTCCCGCATGCGCAGTAGAGGACGCAATGACGTCACAGGGCAGCGTGCTCTGTGTTTATGGAAGTAAAAATGGATGGCAGTGCTGGAGTGCATCCAGCGGTCTTTCCCAACCATAAAAACACAATCTTTTCAAGACGGTTAAACATAAATACTGCTCTCCGCATCATTGTCTGCCATTTTTGTTGTTTTTCTTGTTGCTTCTTTATGAAAAGACCCCAAAATAGTGACCTTTGTCGAGCATTAATGGCGTTCAGGTCAGATGAATGTGACCTGGCCATTCAGACACAGGTCACATTTGAGAAGATCAGATTCGTATCTGATTCAGGACCACATAGCCAAGCGGCCTGGGTCGCATTGGAAACAATCAGATCTGTGTTGTTCAGACTGCCATGGAAAGATCAGATCCAGGTCGCATATGGTCCGAAAAATTGGATTTATGTCACTTCAGGCTGCAGTGTGAACGTAGCCTATGTCATTTTTGACAAATGTATAAGCTTAATTTAAGTTACTGTATATTAAATGATTTTTCAGGTCAACACCCGACACTTAGAGTCAATATTTATCATATGTAACCTGAACCCCTCTTCACTGCAGTCTGAGCTCCCCTTAAAGATAAACTTTAAAAAAAAAAAAAGAGAGAGCTGTAATCCTTTCCTGATCAAACATATTTTTCACTCTCTAATTTAGGATTTAATCTATAAGTAACCCCATGACTTCTTAACTCTACTAGTCCATAGTGGTCTACTAAACATCTAAAACACTGAGGTAGATGGTTTAATTTTGTGACAGGGCAGAAGTTATAGGTCTAGCACCCCTAGCTACACAGTGCTGCTTAAAGGCATACTAATTAGCATCTACTCTAGAAATATCTAGTTGTTGCTATTTAACCCTGGCAAGATTTAAAAGGACAGGTTAGGTTGTTGGCAATATAAATTATAATGAGAACCAGCACATCATAGGGTAGCTCTAACCTGTTTAAAAATAAACAAAATTATAAAAAGATAAGTGTGCTTTAATTTTTTTTCCTTTTTTTCCCCTTTAATTTAAAACAATACTTGTTTAAAATCTAATCTGGACATGGCTTAACTTCGAAAGAGTTATTTATTAAACTGAATTTATTCCAAAACACTATAAAACCAATTGGTTATTCTAAATTACCTTTAGAAAACCATATCTGTTTAGTTTCCCCTGCAGGTCGTTTTAAAATGATAGGATCCTGCTGTCATGTCCCGTTCATGGGACGTATGTGGCGAAATTTGCAGCCTCATACTTCCACGAGTACGGTCTGTCCACCATTACAGCATTTTAAAGGGCAAGTTAGACCCTACCTGGGGTTAAAGAACAACAGCCGATTTATACCATGATTTTACAGATGTTTCAATACTGTTTTTGGTTATTTTTGTGCAACAGGTTAACAGGATACATTGCTAAATGAAAACTAAAGAGGTTGAGGATTATCCTGGGACTCTTCAATAAATATTACAGATCTGAACTGACTTAGCGGTTTGATACTTCAAATCTCACAGGTAAGATTTGCTTTCACATTGTAACTGAAGGATTTTTGCTGTTAATTGATTGCATACATATGCACAGCACCTGGATGGTGAGGAAGCAGCAGGTTGAGGAGTGCACCTCCTTCCTTTCTCCAGCTGGTCGGTCTCTCTCCTGCTACTGTGGCCGTTTCCTGAGCTTCTGAATGTACATGGTAATTTTGTTCAAACCACACCTGCTGCAAGGAGAAGTACATGCAGCACATCCCCACCAGGAAACCCAGTAAGAACGCCCATCTGGTGCTGGGAACCTTCATGGTGAAAACCTCTCCTGTGCTGCAAGGTCAAACTTGAAGCATGTCTAAATGAAAAGAAAAAGACTTCAATTACCTTGATAAGCATCATATACACGAGTATCATCGTTATTATTAAACTCTTATGTAAAAGAATAAGCATCTTCTACAGGAGTGAGTGAAACAGACAATCAAATCGGATGTTTCTTTAGTGCAATCTTTAGTTTGGCATTACAGCATTCTGCCTTCTAATACTATTACCTGAATGCCTCGGAGTACAGCTGGGGGGAAATCTGAAACAGGATTAGTGCTTTTCAAGGTCAATTTAGGATTTTCAGTATTGCAAAGCAAGTTCACCTTTTGTCCGAGTCCGTCACCATTGTAACTTAAATTACAATGTTGGACATCTAACCTTTAGAGGCCAGTGAAAAAAGAAAAAAAAGAAAAAAAAAACAGTCCTCTAAACAAAATGCATCAATTAAAAGTGAAAGATGTCTATTTGTTTCCTCGTCTCTGATATGCACATTTGATTTTTACTTTAAACAGAAAACTGTGAACATGTTATCCGGAAAGAAGCTTATTTTATTTGTATTTTATAATCTGAAAAGGTTACATTACTCCTGATTAAAAAAATACTCTTCATTCATCCAGAGAGTATCACAAACCAAATCATTTGTGGGATCTGAGGGTGTTTCCAAGGATATCACAATGATTAATTATGGTATCTTTAGAAACTTTTGTGTTAGTGACAAGGTTTCCTCCAGACCCTGAAAACTGAATAGGACAATAATCATCCAACAATCATTTCATCCGTACAAGTAAGGGTTTACTTTGTGGCTCAACTTTTTCTTCTCATAACAACCTGGATAAACAAACATTACAGCCAAGACTCAAGAACAAGACATTTAATGCAGCTGAAATTTGGATCCCCCCCCCCCCCCCCCTTTCTTATGCCTATGTGTCGTATTCCACTTTTTGGCTCTGTTTCACAAAAATTCATGTGACAATTAAACTGCTTTTCACCTTTGACTTTGCCTAATCCTGTTGGTCAGACTTGTGTAAAGTTGCTCATAGGGACTCTTTCAACGGTGTCAGAAAAGATGCATTCCTCTCTTGTCAAGGGAAATTTTAACTAGGAAACACTCCACACTTTCTTCTTTCTACCACAGCAGCATGTAAACTAACAGGTTTCAGATGAAGATAAGACAGAGTTATGAACAATAACTTGCAAAACCAGGCTTGCATTTTCACATTGTCACACTCTGAAAAGATTTGATAGATGGATAGCAGTTTTTTTAAGGCTAGAGAAACAAGCAGAATGAATGTGTTTGTTTGCACACAGTTGAACCGGATATCACAGATAATCTCTTCAGGACACCTGATAGTGGGCGGGATATACTGGAGAGCAAGTATACATTTTGTGATCAAAGTGAGAGTAAAAAGAGCAGGAAAAGGAGGTCAAATGTGTGGATTGCAGACCACCAAGCTAAGTTTGAAGAAAAATCTGCAATGGTCAGTAGCTACAGGTGCTGGTCATAAAATTAGAATATCATGAAAAAGTAGATTGATTTCAGTAATTCCATTTAAAAAGTGAAACTTGTATATTATATTCATACATTACATACAAACTCATATATTTCAGATGTTTATTTTGTTTAATTTTGATGATTACAAATGACAACAAATGAAAATCTCAAATTCATCATATCAGAAAATTAGAATATTGTGAAAAGGTTCAAAATTGATGGCCCCTGGTGCAACCCTCTAATCAGCTAATTAACTCAAACCACCTGCAAAAGCCTTTAAATGGTCTTTCAGTCTAGTTCTATAGGCTACACAATCATGGGGAAGACTGCTGACTTGACGGTTGTCCAAAAGACGACCATCGACACCTTGCACAAGGAGGGCAAGACACAAAAGGTCATCGCTAAAGAGGCTGGCTGTTCACAGAGCTCAGTGTCCAAGCACATTAATAGAGAGGCGAAGGGAAGGAAAAGATGTGGTCGAAAAAAGTGTACAAGCAAGAGAGATAACCGCACCCTGGAGAGGATTGTGAAACAAAACCCATTCAAAAATGTGGGGGAGATTCACAAAGAGTGGACTGCAGCTGGAGTGAGTGCTTCAAGAACCACCACACACAGACGTATGAAAGACATGGGTTTCTGCTGTCGCATTCCTTGTGTCAAGCCACTCTTGAACCACAGACAGCGTCAGAAGCGTCTTGCCTGGGCTAAAGAGAAACAGGACTGGACTGCTGGTGAGTGGTCCAAAGTCATGTTCTCTGATGAAAGTAAATTTTGCATTTCCTTTGGAAATCAAGGTCCCAGAGTCTGGAGGAAAAGAAGAGAGGCACTTCATCCACGTTGCTTGAAGTCCAGTGTAAAGTTTCCACAGTCAGTGATGGTTTGGGGTGCCATGTCATCTGCTGGTGTTGGTCCATTGTGTTTTCTGAGGTCCAGGGTCAACGCAGCCACATACCAGGAAGTTTTAGAGCACTTCATGCTTCCTGCAGCTGACCAACTTTTTGGAGATGCAGATTTCATTTTCCAACAGGACTTGGCACCTGCACACAGTGCCAAAGCTACCAGTACCTGGTTGAAGGACCATGGTATCCCTGTTCTTAATTGGCCAGCAAACTCTCCTGACCTTAACCCCATAGAAAATCTATGGGGTATTGTGAAGAAGAAGATGCAATACACCAGACCCAACAATTCAGAAGAGCTAAAAGCCACTATTAGAGCAACCTGGGCTATCATAACACCTGAGCAGTGCCACAGACTGATCGACTCCATGCCACGCCGCATTGCTGCAGTAATACAGGCCAAAGGAGGCCCAACTAAATACTGAGTGCTGTACATGCTCATACTTTTCATGTTCATACTTTTCAGTTGGCCAACATTTCTATAAATCCTTTGTTTATATTGGTCTTCAGTAATATTCTAATTTTCTGATATGATGAATTTGAGATTTTCATTTGTTGTCATTTGTAATCATCAAAATTAAACAAAATAAACATCTGAAATATATGAGTTTGTATGTAATGTATGAATATAATATACAAGTTTCACTTTTTAAATGGAATTACTGAAATCAATCTACTTTTTCATGATATTCTAATTTTATGACCAGCACCTGTATTCAAAAAATCTAAGAAAGAAGAAGTGACAAACTCACAACAGAGCAAAGTCAACAATCAGGACAGCCTTCCAGCTGTCCTACAGACAAGCTACTTTGGATCAAACTGCAAAAGAAGTTATGGTTGATTCATAAAAATAAAAAAATAAAAAAGGTGCCAGGATACAGTTTGCAGGGTTTTTTTTTTTTTTTTTTTTTTTTTTTGAAGAGCTGCAAACCTTAATGTCTCATTTCTCACTGATCTTTGAAGCAGGAGAGACAAAAAAGGCTTAGGATTGATTTCAGAAACAGGAAGTTCAAGGTTTTTCTCCAGATACTAAAACAATAAGCTCCAAGATGTGAATGAAAAATATTAATAGGCCTAAATATGTTTTTAATAGTGTGTATTGATCACAATATAGCTAGAAAGGGCTTAGTTTTTGTTATTGTGTCAATGCCGAGAAAAGCACAAAAAAATAGATACACAAGAGACACGATCTAATTCTATTTTCTGTTTCGATAGTTAACCATTTACGAATGTGTGTTTTTATTTGGTCAAACGGTGAAATACTCATTTTAATCCGGCGCCTGTTTATTACCTTAGCAGCCGGATCAGTCAGTTCTGGACGCGGACAGCTTGACATCCCCTAAAGATTTTGAACGTTTCCTGCAATCTTCTGGAGAAGCTGCTAACATTCAGCGAACCAGTAGCTCTTTATGCGCGGTTGAAGACAATGATTGCATAGAGAAAACCCGTGCATTTTCCAGCTTAACACCATTCAAGTCAACATACGGCTCAGCTCAGGATATGCTGCCTCCCATTGGTCAGCGGGTAGTGACGTATGAGGAAGCAGACTTTAACCTTTAAAAAAAACACTTTTCTAAATGAAAATCTTAACATTACTTTAACAGATAAGTGTTTTTTGTTTGGGATGGAGAAATGTGAACTTGTCAAAACAGAATTTGTATATGTTAAAATAATTTTTTATTATTTATGATAAATATCATATTCACACCTCAAAATATTTACAACAAAAACTTAATTTCAAGATTTTATTTATCTTCTATTAATATCTATATAGAATCCTTAAAATTAAGTGCAAATGATAAAGCCAGGAAAATTATAACTGCCCTTAAAGAATTATAACCCTAGGGCATAGATTTGATTTCGAAATTTTAAAATAATGGTTCTGTTCTGTAAAGCCCTTTGTTGTTATATAAGTTTGTAATTATTAATGTTCTATATTGTTCAAGTATGTTCTTTTTTTGTAATTAAAAAAAAAATCTAAATGAACAGTTTACCCTTATTTCCCACTGGATGTCGCCATAATCCTTTTTACTTTACAAACGTCTAAATGTAATAACTGTGTGGTTGATTCAGTCATTATTTATTGTTACAATATAATTATGTTTTTAATTTTTTAAATGAAAACTGTTCAAATATATGCCACTCATGTTGCACTATGTCCACTTTTCAATTAATCAGTTGACAGATAATATCACTCAACTTTAAAATAACTCAATAATCAATAAATTGCATCTACACATCAGTTCCCAATAATAAACATATATATCTAACTCCTATATACCAAGTGCCTAGATCAAACATCAGTGTTAGGGTACATTTAGTTGTACCACCCTAACTAAGAAGAACATAATATTTACATAACATGGTGTATGATATCTGTGTATTTATACTCTATCCATTACAGAGGTAATGCTTTTTTGGGAAAATAATATGATTTGTACAAACCACATAAAATAAAAAGTACCTTGCATGCCTTGAGTTTGACATCTGTGCTTAAAACAAACACATTACTGCATCCGCTTTAATTTTTGATTTAATTTGTTATTTTTTAACAAATTAGTCCATGGCATAAAAGAAAGCACAACCACCATAACAAGTCAGTGGATTTACCGCATGGCTTTAGGTGTAACTCATTTGAAGAACTAAAACAGATGGCTCACTTGAATAAGCCTAACATACCTTATTGTCTGAACAGTTGTGAAAATACTACATACACTTTTACATTGCTTTATAAAAATTATGTGTCATTTGGCTGCCATAGTTTCAGCACAGCAGCAGACATGCCTACACAGCAATGGATGAATCATCAAATAATGGCATTTTGGGAGAGGCAATGGCAGGAAGGCCTCATTGCATCATGAAGCTTCATCCGGTAATCACAATCAAAGCTGTCTTTCAGACATTAAGATGGTGAGAAAACATTGCCTATATATATATATATATATATATATATATATATATATATATATATATATATATATATATATATATATATATATATATATATATATATATTCTTTTTCTGTAAATTTATTATTTCAAAGTTATTGATTAGTTGTATGAATTGATCAAAAACATCCCTTACATTGCTGAGGCCTCTTCTGCTGTTTTGGTTTAGCCAAGCAGGTAGGAAAACACCCCCAAGATGGTGGACATAAAGGTCCTTCTCAAAATATTAGCATATTGTGATAAAGTTCATTATTTTCCATAATGTAATGATAAAACTTGAGCATTCATATATTTTGGATTCATTGCACACTGACTGAAATATTTCTGGTCTTTTATTGTCTTAATACGAATGACTGGCATACAGCTCATAAAAACCCAAAATTCCTATCTCAAGAATTTAGCATATCATGAAAAAGGTCTCTAAACGAGCTATGCACCTAATCATCTGAATCATCAAATTAACTCTAAACACCTGCAAAAGATTCCTGAGGCCTTTAAAACTCGCAGCCTGATTCATCACTCAAAATCATGGGTAAGACTGGCGACCTGACTGCTGTCCAGAAGGTCATCATTGACACCCTCAAGCAAGACGGTATGACACGGAAAGATATTTCTGAACGAATAGGCTGTTCCTAGAGTGCTGTATCAAGGCAACTCAAAGGGAAGTCTGTGGGAAGGAAAAAGTGTGGCAGAAAATGCTGAAAACGCAGAAAACATCCAGAACCACTGTGCAAAGGTGTATGCAGGAAATGGGCTACAGTTGCCGCAATGCCCAGGTCAGCCACTTTTGAACCAGAAACAGTGGCAGAGGCACCTGACCTGGGCTACAGAGAAGCAGCACTGGACTGTTGCTCAGTGGTCCAAAGTACTTTTTTTGGATGAAAGCAAATTTTGCATGTCATTTGGAAATCAAAGTGCCAGAGTCTGGAGGACGACTGAGGGGAAGGAAATGCCAGAATGCCAGAAGTCCAGAGTCAAGTACCCACAGTCAGTTATGGTCTGGGGTGCCATGTCAGCTGCTGGTGTTTGTCCACTGTGTTTTATCAAGGGTAGGGTCAATGCAGCTAGCTATCAGGAGATTTTGGAGCACTTCATGCTTCCATCTGCTGAAAAGCTTTATGGAGATGAAGATTTCATTTTTCAACACAACCTGGCACCTGCCAAAACCACTGGTAAATAGTTTAATGACCATGGTATGACTGTGCTCAATTGGCCCGCCAACTCTCCTGACCTGAAACCCATAGAGAATCTGTGCTATATTGTGAAGAGAAAGTTGAGAGACGCAATACCCAACACTGTGGATGAGCTAAAGGCCACTATCGAAGCATCCTGGGCCTCCATAACACCTCAGCAGTTTCAGCAGTTTTGCGGTGCAACATGGAGGCAATCAGCAGGCTGATTGCCTCCATGTTGCACCGCATTGAAGCAGTAATTTCTGCAAAAGGATTCCCAACAAGTATTGAGTGCATAAATGTACATAATTATTTGAAGGCTGACTTTTTTTGTATTAAGAACACTTTTCTTTTATTGGTCGGATGAAATATGCTAATTTTGTGAGATAGGAATTTTGGGTTTTCATGAGCCGTATGCCAAAATCATCTGTTTTAAGACAATAAAAGACCTGAAATATTTCAGTTAGTGTGCAATGAATCTAAAATATATGAATGTTCAAGATTTATCATAACATTATGGAAAATAACAAACTTTATCACAATATGGTAATGTTTTGAAAGGACCTGTATTTCATGCACTGCAGCAGCCAGCAGCAAATGGTAGGTCTTTTCTTGCTTTTCTTCTCTAACACACCTAAATCTACCATCATTTAGCAGAAAAAAATATGTACTGGCACAGAAACCGTAAATAATAGGCCACATGGTCTATTTATTTTACAGTTTTAACGATTGTGGAAAAATTAAGTTGTTGCACTTAAGTTAAGTCATTTAAAGATAGTATCACTTAGACAAATTTTATTGTCATTTTGTACAAAACGAAATTTCATTCAGTACAGCTCTCAAGGCATTTCCATTTCTTAAAGTGCAGCAGTGATAAAATGTAAACATGATGGTCAAATGTAAACATAGGATTGAGATAATCTTTACAGTTTTCCAACAATCAGCGACCCCCCCAATTTTATTCAACATTCAGCAGTCTGATGGCAGTGGGGAAGAAGCTGTGTAAGAATCTTCATGACTGTCATTGAATGCTGCGAAGTCTCTTCCCAGAGGGCAGCAGGGAGGGCAATCCATGTTAGGGGTGTGAGTGGGTCATTTATAATGTTATGGAATGAAATGTCTTTTATGGAGGGAAGATGAGCCCCGATGATCTTCTCTGCAGTTCTCACTACTCTCCACACCTTCTTCCAGTCTGCAGCTTTGCAGCCTCCATACCACACGGTGAGACAGCTGGTCTGAACGCTCTGGTGCTTCTGTAGAAGGTGGTGAGAATAGGTGGGGGCAGTTGGGCTCTCCTTATCCTCCACAGGAAAACCATGTGCGTTTGTGTCCTTTTGATCAGTGAGGATGTGTTTACAGTTCAGGGGAGGGTGTCTGTGATGCGCACCCCCAGGAATTTGGTGCTGCTGAACACTTCTACAGCCGAGCTGTTAATGAGCAGCGGAGCGTGGTTCTCCTTCGTTTTCTCCAAATTCAGGATCAGGCTGTTATCTTTGCACCAGTCCACCAGCTGCTCCACCTCCTCTCTGCAGTCTTGGTCGTTGTCATCTCTGGTGAGGCCCACCACCATGGTGTCATCTGCAAACTTCACGATGTGATTGGTGGTGAACCTGGGGATGCAGTCCTGTGTCATCAGGGTGAACATCAGGGTGAACAGCAGGGGGCTCTGGACGCAGCTCTGAGGGTAGCCTCTGCTTAGGGTGGAGACATCAGAGGTACTCTGCCCGATCCGGACTGACTGAGGTCTGTTCGTGAGGAAGTCTAGCAGCCAATTGCAGAGGGGTGTATTGAAGCCCAGTTGTTCCAGTTTTCTTATCAGATGCTGTGGGATGATGGTGTTAAGCTGAACTGAAGTCCATGTGGGTGTTCTTTTCCTCCAGGTGTGCCAGGCTCAGTGGAGCAGTTTCATTGGAAGGCAAACTGGAACAGGTCGAATGTTGGGGGGAGACTGGAGACGATGTGTTCTTTAACCAGCCTTTCGAAGCACTTCATCATAATGTGAGTCAGTGCGACAAGCCTGTAGTCATTGAGTGAGTTGACCTGAGGCTTCTTTGGGACCAGAATGATGGTGGCAGACTTAAAGCATGCTGGTACTATGGATTGGTTCAGCAAGGTGTTGAAAATTTATGTGAGGACACCAGCCAGCTGATCTGCAGACTCTTTGTACACCTGCCCAGGTATGTTATCAGGGCCTGGGGACCTTCTTGGGTTGACTCTCCTCAGGGTTTTCCTTACTTTTGCTATGTCAAGGTTGAGTGCCTCCTCCCCCTGGTGCGGAACAGCCTTCACTGCTGCTATCACAGTTTTTTTTTTTTTGTATCTATTATATCTTAGGTTTCTATGGCTGCAAATGGATTTTTGGTTCATTTAATATTACAACAATGAACAAATGCCTTTCCTTTAGTTTCATTCCTTAGTTTGGTTCCCCTATTAAACACCAAACACTTCCTCTACCCTGTTCCCCCTGAGAAATGTGATCTAGAAATGCCACTGCACCCAACACATGTACTCATGTAAACACCCTGTGCAATCACCCTGTATAATAATCCTATTATAAAAAATATAAAAAAGCTGTCATGTGTGGACACACTGTATATACTGTATAAATTCCATGCACCTTTTTCTTCCTTTGGCACATTCTTCTTCTACTTTGACTGATGTAACGAGTAAACTTCTCTACTGTGAGAACAGTAAAGTCAATTAATCAATCAACACAGAAGTAGGTCACCAGCTGCAGCCCCCATGACAGAGGACCAGGGCGACATAGATTAAGATTTAGGGATTGGACGTGGGATGGAGCTTAAAAGTGTGACCTAAGGAAATCATACCAGATCTTGGATATACAGACAAACAGATATATATATATATTTTTCTAATTTGCATCACAACAGAGTACAAATTAACATAACAACACGAGATATAAGATTTATGCTCAGATAAAATTAAGTTTCAAAATTAAATCTGAGTTTTAGATGTAATAGTTAAGTGTATGTAGAATGTAAAAATTGATTTAGTGTATAAATATAGATATACATGCATTTAATGTTACGTTTAACATTTGCAAATAAATATAAAAAATGTACTGAATGAAAAAAAAAACCTTTCCTCTTGTCCTACATAATATAAATTTGAAAAGTGATTTCTTTACCCTCATCGCCCACTAGCGTCGAGCAATATTTGCATAGATAATTCAGCTGTGAGGAGTGGCTCTGAGGAGAGGCGCTTTGGAAAGGGGCGCATCAGGACGCAGACCGTCACTGGTTTGTCAGATTTAACAAGCTGCCTATGAGGAAGTTTCAACGAACTTCAACTTGAAAAAAGCAGCTGCGGTAAGACAAAGCTTTTTTCCCTCTATGTGCCTTCACATTTAATTCGCTAATGAGAATTATGCAAGAATTACGCACATACATTTTTTTTTTCCGGGGATCCTTCATTCATTTGACAGACGGAAATTGTACCTACGACGAAGCTGCTCAAAGTATGACATTAACTTCCTCGTGGGAGGTTATTTTCTTCCAGAGGTTAAACATATACTAATTGTTTAAATATTGTAAAGGTATTTGCCCAATAAACAAAACCCTGAAGGAATTTACCATCTCTTCATAGGACAGGGCTGTTAAATGCTTTATCCTTCAAACTTTATCTGTATACCTATTTCAGCACACCTGCACCAAGTTGCCTAATCAGATGGTAAGGTGGATTCAGTAGAAATGAGCTGCATACTGTGAGGTAAACGAGCCATTTGATTCAGCTGTGCTGGAGCAAACAAAATTTAAAATGGGACAGGATAGGGCCAGCGTTTCTTTATGGTGGCACAGAACAAAGGGTAAAACAAACACAGTAAACAAACAGGGCAAGAGTCCTTCATTTAGTATAATAAGTGAGCCTGAAAGGTTGCAGACTACTAATCTAAAAAAAAAAAAAAAAAAAAAAAGTGTTCCTATGTTGATGAAATAAAAACTAACTGCTTTTTCGAAATAATTGTTAAAATAAATTGAAAAGACGAATCAGTTACAATTTTTTCTGTTAGAAAATATCATTATGCATCTGTTTAGTATTACAAAAGAAGTAAAAAAAAAATAATAAATAAGTTTGTTCTTAATTCGAGCTGGTATGATGATCTGTCTAAGGAATATATTTATCCACTTGAAATAAGTTAATGGGGTTTCCTTTTCATATTTTAAAATAAACAAAAATATTATTCCATTGATACATTTTCTAAATTACTTGCTCAAATCAAGGGAATATACTTTTAATTCAAGAAAAAATTATTACATTTACATTTTTGTAGTGTATTTTTCAGTCCGGGGGCCAAGATAAGTTATTCAGGGGGACTGGTGCCTGTGGAGCCTTGCGTAGAATATCCCATTCGCATCTCCCCATCAGATATGGCTTCCACTGCGTCTCCTTGCCGCTTGCGCAATAGAAAACGTGCGTGCTTGTCCAGTGCTCTATCTAGGGCACTGTGCATATGCTACAAGAGAACTACAGTGAAACTTCCAACAATTTGTGTATGCAAAGTTGAGCAACTTTCTTTTGCAACTAGACTCTCGTCCAAAACATATTTCTTTTTCTTCTTTTTCTTTTCTTCATCATCAGTGATACAATACATTGCTTCAAATACCAGAGACACAATACTCAGATTTATATTTTAACGCCCCCATCCCAAGAACATGTTGGACACCAATCCACTAAGAGTAAATAATTGAAGGTCAGGGCTCGATATTAACCATTTCCAGATCGTCCGGGGCAAGTAGTTTTTAATGTCGGGAAAATAAAAATTTCATTGCATTTGCCCGTCAGTCAAGTGCAATGATCGCAAAAAAAATTATTTATCACTCAAAATTTCTTTAAAATCATTGACATGCGCTGAAAACAACCCACAAGCGTTGCCGGCGCCATCTTTGTTGTTTTGTACACATTCTCGCGTGATTTAAAAAAGCTGCGTGATTTTCTGCTAGATGGCGTAATTCAGCTCTTGGGGAGAGAATTCTGCAGAGCAGCAGCTGGATGATGAATTTAATCTATACTATAATACACACTAGATTAAAAATGATCTGTCAGGGATTGCTGCTGAGCCATCCTTCACTACTCCTGTTTCAAACCTCAACCTACTCCTGCTGAGCCATCCTTCAAACCTCAACCTACTCCTGCTGTGCCATCCTTCAACCCTCAACCTACTGCTGCTGAGCCATCCTTCAACCCTCAACCTACTGCTGCTGAGCCATTTCATAAATCAATGTTTTTATAAATCAACATTCAAATCCAAGTGATATTCTACTACTTCAAGGAGATAGCACCATTCATATCTTCCTGTTTAACACAGAGGAAACAGTATCTGATGTTTATTTGGGAATAAGGATAAGTTCCCTTCTGTTTAACACTGGGTTAACCGTCTGTCTGTATAACCATATATCCTTATGTAAAAACATAAATATATCATGGATGGCAGTGCAGTTACAAAAGGAAGTTGCTCAACTTTGATTACACATGTTTGAGTTTTAAGTGTGACTGCAGTTCTCTTGCAATCAGAGATGGCAAAAGTACTCACTTTCCGTACTTAAGTAAAAGTACAGATACTTGTGTTAAAAAATACTTTGGTAAAAGTGGAAGTACTGATTAAACTTCTTTACTTAAGTAAAAGTAACAAAGTACAGGCTTGTAAATTTACTTAAAGTATAAAAGTAAAAGAAGAAACCACTTTTTTCATGCCGTTGCCTACATTTTAAATGGATGTCTGCCAATAGGACTAGATCTCCGTTGTGTTCATTTTCAATCATCTCGTCGTCCATACTGCTATGCTAACGCCACCGCCACCAAGCTGCAACGATTTGCCGCGAATGAATACCGCCGAATCTGTCGATTCATCTTGTAGTGGTGCGTCAAATGCAACGTAGATTCCCATCCAATTAGATTGAATTTGGTATTGATGACATGAAAAATAATAACGGTAACTCCATTGAAATGATTCAAAACTAAAGTAACGAGCCAATTTTTTTAAATGTAAGGAGTAGAAAGTACAGATATTTGTGTAAAAATGTAAGGAGTAGAAGTAAAAAGTCGCCATAAAAATAAGTAGTAAAGTAAAGTAAAAATATCAGAAAAATCTACTTGAGTACAGTAACGAAGTATTTGTACTTCATTACTTCCCATCTCTGCTTGCAATGCATGCATGGTGCATAGATCACTCGACAAGTAAACACATTTTCTGACTTGTACGCTACAAGGAGCAGCAAGGAGGGAAATGCCAAGTGGAGAAATGCCAATTTACGTAACATCGGTCTGGTGAGAAACTCTGGTCCCTTGTGAAGATCTCTCCCCCCTGTGTAAAAATAACTTGTAAATAAATAAAAGATCAAAGATACATAGGGTAGCCAAATATGTGCAATGTATTTTACTGGGTTAAAATATTTGGTTCCCCCCATTTAGCTTTGGAGAATAACAAATATCTTCAAAGTTAAAAGGATGTTAATGAATAGATGAAGGGTTAATAAATAAAGAGTTGGTTAATCCCTGCTCTATTGGGTGACAAAACGAGTTTGGAACCAAAATATGTCCTTTTTAAAGAGAGTAAATATGTTCTCTAATGTTACAGTATGTTTGTGGTAGGGCTGAAACAATTAATCGGATTAAACGATTTTTGTAATAATCGTCTACTAATTGAGTAATCAATTAATTGTTAACTAGAGTATAGAGACTGTAAAACATGACTATCTGATAGAGCAACCATTTAAGAGCAGTAATTATATCAAAATTGTAAAAAAAAAAAAAATATATATATATATATATATATATATATATATATACCAATTCCGAAGCGGAACAATCATCAGTCACCTCCTCTACATGGATGGATGACATCAAGCTGTATGCCAGGAGTGAGCGAGACATCGACTCACTGATCCACACTACCAGGATCTACTGCAACGACATTGGGATGTCATTCGGACTGGACAAGTGCGGTCGCATGGTCTCAAAGAGAGGGAAGATTATCAGAACCGAGGGGGTTGAACTACCAGAAGGCCAAATAACAGATGTTCAGGACAGCTACAAATACCTTGCGGTGCCACAGGCTAACGGAAACCACGAGGAGATGGCAAGAAAGACTGCCACAGCTAAATACCTACAAAGAGTAAGGCAGGTCCTGAAAAGTCAGCTGAATGGGAAAAACAAGATCCAAGCCATCAACACATATGCCCTACCAGTCATCAGATACCCTGCTGGTATAATAAACTGGCCAAAGGAGGAGATAGAGGCTACTGACATCAAGACGAGAAAGCTCCTCACAATGCATGGAGGGTTCCACCCCAAATCCAGCACTCTGAGACTGTATACCAAGCATAGCGAGGGAGGCCGAGGGCTAGTGAGTGTCAAGACCACTGTCCAGGATGAAACAACTAAGATCCAGGAGTACATCAGAAAGATGGCCCCCAAGACAAATGGCTTGGTGAGTACCTCAGGCAGGAGAAAACCGAAAGTGAGGACAAGAAAGAGGAAGGAGAACCATCATGGAGGGACAAGTCACTGCACGGCGTATACCACAGACAAATAGAAGAAGTGGCTGATATAAAAAAATCCTACCAGTGGCTGGAAAAGGCTGGACGAAGGACAGCACAGAGGCACTAATCATGGCAGCACAAGAACAGGCACTTAGTACAAGATCAATAGAGGCCAGGGTCTACCACACCAGGCATTACCCCCGATGCAGACTGTGCAAAGATGCCTCTGAAACAATACAGCACATAAAAGCAGGGTGTAAAATGCAGGCAGGAAGTGCATACATGGAACGCCACAACCAGGTAGCTGTCATAGTGTACAGGAACATCTGCCATGAGTATGGGCTGGAAGTCCCAAGGTCAAAATGGAAGACACCTCCTAAGGTAGTTGAGAATGACCGAGCTAAGATCCTATGGGACTTCAAGATCCAGACTGACAAACAGGTGATGGCTAACCAACCAGACATCGTGTTGATCGACAAACAGCAGAAGAAGGCAGTAGTGATAGATGTGGCAATCCCAAGCGACAGCAACATCAAGAAGAAAGAACACGAGAAGCTTGAGAAATACCAAGGGCTGAAGGAGGAGCTAGAAAAGATGTGGAAAGTAAGAGCAGCAGTGGTGCCAGTGGTAATTGGAGCACTGGGGGCTGTGACCCCCAAACTGGGAGAGTGGCTACAGCAGATTCCAGGTAAAACATCAGAGGTCTCTGTCCAGAAGAGCGCAGTCCTAGGAACAGCTAAGATACTGCGCAGAACCCTCAAACTCCCAGGCCTCTGGTAGAGGACCCGAGCTTGAGGATGACACATACCACCCCATGAGGGGTGAGAAAA